CGTCCTCCTCAGGGCTGCTCTCCATTTCACTCCACAAAACATGCTCAGTATGTGGGTTGGGGGTGGGCTGGGTGCCGTGTTGGTTTTATCGTTCTCTCTCTCTCACTTGTCAGAGCTCACTCTGGCTCTAGTGTGATCTCTGTCTTTTGGGCTTGTTCTGGCTCTTGGGCTTGGGCTCTCCAGATCTGCCTGTTCAGGACCTGGCTGGGCATCGATCAGCAGTTGTGTCATTTGTTTTATTTTCGATTATTTTCATTACATATTAGTGGTGGTAGTATTATTTTCATTACATATTAATAATATTAGTTTCATTACTAATATTAGTATTAATAGTATTGTTAATATTACCAGTATCACTATTTTATTACTTTGTAACAATTTACTTTATAATTTTTTTTTTTTTTTTGTCTCAGCCTATGAGTTTCCATGTCTTTTCCTTTGACTCTCCTCCTCCACTTGAGGATGAGAGAGGTGAGCGAGTGGCTGGGTGGGGTTTGATTGCTGCCTGGGATTAAACCACAACTGGTACAACCAATTGAGGTTGTAAAGGTAGCAGAATTGTGGTTTTGGAAATGACATCACTGTGCATGGGAAGCTGTGGTTTGCTGCTCTTATGTCTTCTGTGCAAGCAACAGGCAAATATGTTCTTCAGTATCATGTTGTTAGCAAGAATTATGAGACAGTAATTAAAATTTTGCTAAGATTAAAACGGAGGATGAATACGTGATTCATACTTTTTGGTGTTCTAAAGCCATTTCTGTAATTCCTTAACCAGTGATGAAATGCAGAACAAAATCGATACATGCTTTGTAAAGAAGGTCCATATAGGGATTTATATTTCCTTTCTTTCCCGTATTCCAACTATTTTCCATAAATGATGGATTTATAGACTTAAGAGGGAAAGACGTTTCTCTGAAGTTGCACATACATGACTAAAACCAAAAAGGACTGCACAAGCCAAGCCATGATTCACAAGAAAGTTACCTGTCAAGGGAGTACTTATAGCTGAGGCAGGAGCCCCTTCGACCTCTCCAAATTGCTTGGCAAACCCTGTAGCCAACAGAAGTGCTAAACTAACAGTGGTGCAGTGGCTGAGGTATAAGTGGGCGTTCTGAGTTGCTCGTAATTCCTGGAGATTTACTATCAAGTTAATTCAAAACTGTTGCAACACCTGAACCAGTGTCTCACGGTCACTTCTAAATTAACTCGTTAACTCTGTTAACCATTCTTCCTACCAAGTATCCTTGAATCCTCTTCAGTGCTGTGGCTTCCCTGTGCAGTCCAAAGCATTTTGTTACTTGCAGAGCTATTTCTTTCATACAGTGTGTAGAATATAAGATGTAAATAATGTTTTCCTCTCATATAATTAGGATGTTAAGTCTCAACTAAAGAAAAAAGCCTACATTGATTTTTTCTTGTGAGTCTCTTTACAACTCTGAATTTATAACATATTCCTAAGGGTGCCTTGGAGTTTTTTCACATATAGAGGAAAATTGTTTAATAGCCAATAGCTGTTGTCCCAAAATAGTCTAAATAGATAGGGAGGAGGGATAAAAAATCAATGCACCCAAATAAGGTCATCTGCTCACAGTAATTAGGACAAAGAAATAGTCTTTTTCAAAGAGGTGGAATGTAGCACAATTAATTACAAGAATCTGAACTAAATTTAGCACTGTAAACATGGGTGTGAAATGGCTGCAGTCCCATCCATACTGCGTTCAAACAAAGGTGGACGTGTTTCCGTCTGGATTAAATAAAATGCCGTCTGTTTCCAATGTGGTTTGGCTAGCCGGTGAAAACCATAGCGTTTTGACCTGTGTGAAAGGCGGGTTCTAGTGGACAATGGAAAGTGTTTATCCATCATGGTTTCTGTGTGTTTGCTCTGATCAATGCTATCTGGGCATGTTGTGACAGAAACCCCTTTTTTTCTGCATTCAGGCATAAACGCTGTTTGCAAATTCATTTCAAAGAACATTTGATTTGGCCAAAGTCTTGAGTTTTGATGTAATCATCTGTCCTGAACATTGTCTCTCGTGTCCTGGAAATAATTATTTCCAGCATTTTCTGAGCGAAACAGAAAACAAAGAGCTCCTAGACAAACCAGACACTATTTATGTATTGCTTGTCTGCCGATTTTGTCTTCATTTAATAGACCATGTTTTCTTGAGTACTTCAAAATATTTCTGCATCATTTGCCCTCGGAACTGACCCAGTGACCTGAGAATCAAGAAAATGTCATGTTAGTGACTACTAATTAGTGGATCCAGAGAGCTGCTTCTCCTGGCCTTTCAACCTTCTAGAGGCAGCAACAAAAGCTGTCACATGTATCATACAAAGAAAACAAGCATTTGCCATGTTTGAGGGTTTTTTTCCTAGGGTATAGCAGTGGCATAAGCTCAATTGAGACTACAGGTGAATTTGTAGGTTAGGAGGAAATTAACCTATGGTATAGTGTTTGCATTCATTTCTTCTTTTCCATGCATAACACAGTGCATCTGTTACCCAGTTCTTACTGAACACTTGTGAGTGTGTTAGTATGCTGTATTGTGAACGGGAAAAAGAAGGAATCTTTGTTTCTTTTCTCCTTTTTTTTTTCCTGTTCTTGCCATCCCTTTTTCAAATATTTTTTTAACTACTTCAAAATGTATTACGTATTTCTGAAGGGAATATTTTAATGCTTAGTTTTTAATGTGCAGTATACAGTACAAGCTTGACTTGCCTTTTTGTATGTATGTTTGAACAAACTTGTTAACGGAAGATTCAGGCATACTTCCCATCAATCATTGTACTTCTGCACCTTGTGAGTCATCATGGGTTTTTTGGGACTACATGCTGGAATGACCATGGTAAAATGTGCAGTCACAACCATGTCACAGAACTGTTTGTGAAAGTAACATTAATCTCCTTTTTTATTATTTATAATTTTCAGGTCTTTAAAATAGAGGTGCTAATGAATGGAAGGAAGCATTTTGTGGAGAAGAGGTATAGTGAATTCCATGCACTTCATAAAAAGGTAGTGATCTCTTTCTTTACAAGATGTAATTTTATTTTGCTTTAGTTGTGATGTTTTCTTCTCCAAATTATTACTGTACGTGGTTTACCTTATAAATATCTTGTGATTCATGTCTCAGGAAATGAATTCCCACCTAACTCAGTTTCTTTTCTATTTTGTGGAAGGAGACAGTGACTTCGCAGATGTTACTAACTCTCCTTTTCTTTTTGATTATTATTTACCTGCTGTATTGCTGAAATGCTGTCTTGAAGTATGTTCTTCTCTTGTAAAAATCACAAAATAGGATACATTCCTGTAGCAAATAAATATATTTTTGCTTTTTATCCTATTAGGCAAATAATTTGTTAGTTCTATGAATTAGTGTTGCTGCCTGCTATATGTAAAGGTGAGGAAACACCTTCTGTTCACCATCAAACTAGATGTGAAAAAGGCTGGGTAGGCCATCCACTCTGCTGCTCTTCCTACAATGAACGTGATATAAAATATCTCCTAAGCTTGTCTACTGAATCACCTTACTAATATATAGAAGGGAACCTAATACATTGAAGTTATCCGCTATTTGTTCTTTAAATCGTTTTGATCACCGTTGAAGGGAAAGTATGATTTCTCCTCTCCAGGCTAAACTGGACGCTGCTACACAGTTGTGCAGCTGAAAGGAGAGCTGTATGTTTTTTCTGCCTTATGGAGGCCAAGTGTTGTGAAGGGGAATTCTGGAAAAGCATTGCAGCCGGTTGCCTGTTGTGGGGCCGCAGTGAAGAGCTTCAGTCCTTCGTTCCTAGGACCTGGGTCATCTGAGTGTTTGTTGCTTTGAAGCTCTCAGCAGAGGTGGAGTGTGCGCACACTCAGCTGCTTTGAGTCGCAGTGCTTGCCGTGAGTATGGAACAGCTTCCTCTGCAAACGACAGCAAGGAGCAGGGGTGTTCACAGCTCCTGACACTGCGGTGTCAGAGGAGCTTACCCACACCAGCATGTTTGCTGGTGGCCCTGAATCGGCTCAGGAATCATCTTGTTCAGGGAAGAAGCATTATCCTGGTAGGAGAAAGGATGGATTTTGCCAGCCTTATATGGTGTATGGATAGAAGCAAACTTGAGTCAACAAAAGGCAACTATTGACCTGTCTGTGTGTTGCCCCTCAGATGTCCAAAGAACAAGAATGTATTTTGCTTTACTGCACTAGTATTTCTTGCCTTTTTGCTTCTTACCCCAATTGTGGTATCAGCTGCCACTTTATAATACTCTTTTCCTTGTTTACAGTTTTAATGTGTCAGATATTTCCCCCCTTGTGTTCACATTGAATATGATGCCACATGAGCAACAGTGTCAGAATCAGTAGTACAACTCACTCACCCACCTCCAAGCCTTGCAGTACGTGTGCATTTTATTTTGCATGTAACAATAATCCTGCAGTGGAAAGTGAGCAGGTGAGCAGAGATTATGCAACAAAATAAGTTAGGAGACAGTAAGAGTGGAAAATCAGTATTTTATATGCTTAGAATGCACCCTACTCAAGTAGACTATCTCCTGTTGGAATGGAACTGAATGGAATTTTCAGTTGCAAGGGACCTACAAGGATGATGTAGTCCAACTGCCTGACCACTTCAGAGATGACCAAAGGTTAAAGCATGTTATTAAGGGTGGTATCCAAATGCCTCTTAAACACTAACAGCCTTGGGGCATCGACCACCTCTCTAGGAAGCCTGTGCCAGTGTTTGACCACCCTCTTGGTAAAGAAATGCTTCCTAATATCCTGTCTAAACCTCTAGTGCAGCTTTGAGCCATTTCCACACGTCCTATCCACTGGATACTAGGGTGAAGAGCTCAGCACTTACCTCTTCACTTCCCCTTCTCAGGAAGCTGTAGAGAGCAATGAGTTCTCAGCCACTCATAGGACATTCTTTCCAGCCCTTCCACCAGCTTTGTTGCCCTATTCTGGACACATTCAAGGACTTTCAAATCCTTCTGAAATCGTGGGGCCCACAACGGCAGATGGCACTGGAGGTGAGGCTGCTCCAGCGCTGAATACAGCGGGATAACCACCCCTATTGACTGGCTGGTCACGCTGTGTGGGATGGACACCAGGGTGGGGGTTACCCCCTTGGCTGCCAGGGCCTACTGCTGACTCGTATGGAGCCTGCTGCCAGCCAGCATCCCCCAGTCCCTTTCTGCAGGGCTGCTCCACAGCCACTCCTCTCACAGGTTATACTTGTGACCAGCGTTATTCCATCCTAGGTGCAGAATCTGGCATTTGGACTTTTTAAATTCCATCCCATTAATTATTGTCCAGTGCTCCGGTCAATCCAGCGGTGCCTCTGCAAGGCCTTTTGTCCCTTGAGACAGCACCTCCCAGTTTGGGATCATCAGCAAACTTGCTAATGGTGCATTCAACCTCTGCATCTACATCATTGATGAATATGTTGACCAGAACTGGTGCTAGAATTGAGCCCTGAGGAACACTGCTGGAGACCAGTGGCCAGCCAGAGCTAGCCCCATTCGCTACCACCCTTTAAGCCCTGCACACCATGGACCTGCTCATCCCCCAGTTGGTCTACTTGCCTAGAAGGATGCTGTGAAGGACATTATCAAAAGCCTGACTAAAATCCAGAAAAGGTATATCCACCACCTGCCCTTCATCCACAAGATGGGTAATGTTATCATAGAAGGGTATCAAATTAGTTAAACAGAACTTTCCCTTGGTGAACCCATGCTGACTGTGCCTGATGACTGCGTTGTCCTTTAAATGCCTTTTAGTAGCATCCAGTATGATCTTCTCCATAATTTTTCCAGGTACTGAAGTTACACCAGCAGGTCTGTAGTTCTCTGGGTGTCCCCTCGCACCCTACTTGTAAATTGGAATAATGCTGGCTAGTTTCCAGTCAGCAGGGACCTCTCCGGACTCCTGGTAGGTGATTGAAAAGGGTCCTGCCATACAGTCTGCTAGCTCCTTCCATACTCTGGAATGAATCCCATCGGGCACCCGGGACTTGTGAACATTCATCTCATACTGCTGGTCCCTTACAATTTCAGTGTTCACACATGACAAGTCGCTGTTTCCTCACTCATCCTCCAACTCAGGGGACCGGGCAGCCCATGGTCTATCAGTGTTATTAAAGACTGAAGCAAAAGAAGCGTTGAATGCCCCCGCTTTTTTTCTTCCCTTTGTTGTCGTCTAATTTCACTCTCATTTCTGGAGTTGCACAATTACTCCACATAGGTCATGAATGACTGCAGTCTCACTCTCAGACTTGTCTCACTATACTTCCTCTGCAGTAACTCCCTTTGCAGAGATTTCTCCTTAGAACAGCAGGTAAAACGTAATTGATGGTCCCTTTCACTCTCTCTCCCTCTCCAGAAATAGCAGCAAAATAAACAAAAATGAAAAGCTGATATTCTAACAGGACAACTGTACCACTCTTCAGTTTGTCTCATCTTACTCCTCCTCTGCTTGCTCTCTGTTTATATTACCCTGCAAACTTGACTTTCTTGTTCCCTGTACTGATGCAAAGCACACAGCCTATTTTGGCAACAGTATACGTCTTTGCCTAAGTCTTTTTGAAGTTGCAGTAAAATTTCAGTAAACATGGTTGAACAGCTCATGCTCTGAACCTCTCTTAGTGCTTTCAGTGTTACAGAAATCCTGGAGAAGGCATTCTCTGGTAATACAGTGTGTAGTTTCACCCGTTCTTCTCCCTGTTTTGTGTTAGTGTACTCTCAAAGCTCTTTAAGAAGTAAGGTGTGTAGTTGAACAGTTTTTATTGGAGAAGAATATTTTGAGCTTGCATCTCAATTGTTCTTTGTGAACGATTTGTTGACATCCCATGGCACTATTTATACTCAGGTCCAGATACCAGTTTGCTTTCAGCATGCCAATTGGGTATTTATTCTTTGTTCCTCTCTTCCCCTTTAATTTAAAATGTAAGTTTCACTCTAAATTGCTGTGAGTACATGATAATTGGAAAGGTATCTTTAGACTTACTGCATATTCAAGGTGCCCTTAGTGCTGGAGATGTCTGTAGTGAGCAGGAGAAACAAAACTGTAGAGAACAACAGTGGTAGAAAATGGGAATAGAGGCTGAAGGGGAGATTGTGCCTCTTGCTGGAGGATATACTCCGCTGGCAGGAAGGAGGACCCCATTGCTCACATAGGACATTATTCATTCATCAGAATGCCAATTAATGTTTTGATTGATTTTGATAAACAAACCCATTTCCAGGAGCATGGCTGGATTGATCTCCTTCCTGAGTTGAACCTTTCTTACATTCCAGTTGTGTAAAAAGAGTTTTACACAAAACTCTGAGCAATCGGGCTGTAGTGAAAAAGGTTTAAAATCTTTTCAAGACTGCCGTGCTGCACCAGAAACCATCCACTGCGGTTGCCTTGTTTGAAATAGTTTGCAGAGGCCATTGTACTTTGCCCTGGTTATGAGCGACAAACCAGGCCTTTCAGGCTATGCACCATTCACATTACAGTATTGTATCCAAGTCTGAACAAATGTTTTATTATGCTCATACAGAGAGTTTTTTAGAAAGAATTAAATTCTTTCTATGTGTTTAACATAGTCAAACCCACAATCATTTATTTGTAGTTTTTCCCTAATTCTTTTTTGTACTTTTTTCCCTGTATATTTTTAAATATTGGTAGTTCTTTTTAAGCACCAGAATGCTAGAAGGTGACAGTGTTGCAACTGACAACAAGGTGACAGTTTTGCAGTGACATCTGCAAAAATCTTAAGTTCTATACATCTTATTTTACAAGTTATTTATAATTTTAGAATAATTAGTGTACACTAAATCATATTGACTTTTCACACTTGGACAAATAATTCTTTACTTGACAGTTTGAGCCATCATTTAGTCTTGCAGGAAATAGATATGTCAAATAGGCATTAGGTAAGCGTTACGGACAGGAAGGTATTACAGACAATAATTCTTGTGTGGGGACAGATCTGAAGCAGTGTAGCTAAGACATACATAGATTTGCTTAATATTCTTCGGCATTGTAATAACTAATCGTTGCAGTATATTATTGGATTATTGTAAGCGTGAGAAGGTGGGTTTACCATTTATTCTTTGTACATCTGTACAGCATGTGCTTCATACCAATACATGGTACCTGTGCTTGCACAATTTTTTCTGGATGCCTTATATAACAGGGCCACAGAGCACAAAAGGATTGTTAATCATCAGCTGTGGTACCAGCGACAGAGTATTTATCTTGTAAGCAGCTAGGCCTTGCTGGATGCTTGTACTGTTTCAGATTTGTCTCCCCTCATCTGGAGCATTCTCCTCATTTGTTACTCATCTGCAGGTGCTGTCATAGTTCAGAACAGCTGTGACCATATGTTCTTCAACATTCTCGATCAATTTAGAGCAAAAAATGAGGTTTTATGTTTGGGCTTTAACATCAGTCAGTAAAAGCACGTGGGTTTGGGGTTTTGTTTTGGTGGGCTGTTTTTCTCACTTCACGTTTAATTGTAATTTAGCACTGTTCAGAAATAAGAAAGTTGTAAAATGTTTCCAGAGCAATTGAGGTTTCCTTGCTGCAGCTTTGTTATTTGTGACTGTAGAGACCTTGATATGTTGGCACTGCTTTTTCCTATAGTGACATCTCAGCAAGCTCAAAGATGAAATGTAAATTCTCAGTCTCCCATGGGTATGCATGTCAAAGTCAATTTTGAGTTTCTTTCCTTGCATTCCTTGCCTCGGATTTACACAGAGGCAGTGTCCAACAGAAAGGATGTCTAATGTCACCTTCTATTAAAATGCAATGGAGTCTTTTCCAGTTATTATTTTTGCTTTGTAGTTTTGAGGAAAACGTTAATATTTTTCAGTTTTGAAAACATCTGTTGCTCCAGCAAGAGGATTCTCAGTGTTGTCAGAACGAATGTTTGTGTCTGTCTGTATGCACTGATGTGTAAGCATATACCCATTTCCTGTGGGAATCTTTAGAGCAATAGTTACGGAGCTCCCTTGGAGATATATTCAGTAGCAATGTTGCTATTTCTCTGTGTAAGATATTAAACACAACTGTCCGTCTGTTGGTGCAATTTGAGAGCATGGTTGTTTCGCTCTCATGATGGCCAGCTCTCCAGGGAAATGGTTATCTCTCCACCCTGCGTTTCTTCCGCCTGTTTACAGTTACCTAAATCCAGAGTTAGAAGTTGTCACGGTGTTTTTTTACCTGCCTTAACAAGGCACTGTCTGCGTACATCCTGTGACGCTGCTGATATTCTCGTGTAGCTGTTGCCAGATTTGTTTTTAGGCTGTTAGTCACAACAGATTGTTAGTAAGGTTCCTCCTCACTGTCCAGGGCACCTAGATGTGGAGATTTTAAACTGCAGCCTGTAGGTATGAAGTGTGCTGTTACCGCAGTGGGCTGGTGGTGAGTAACTATTGCTGTGCTGTTGTTCTTTTACGCGTGGTTATTTTACCCACACTGCCTCATCTCTAACATAAACTTGTTTGCTTTAAAAGGACGCTATTATACTTTTGTTTCTGTCAGTGTTTCTTTTCACTTGCAGCTCAAGAAGTTCATAAGAACTCCAGAGATCCCTTCAAAGCACGTGAGAAACTGGGTCCCCAAGGTCCTGGAGCAGCGACGGCATGGCTTGGAGTTGTACTTGCAGGTACGTCTCCTCGCAGCGCTGGGAAAGTGAAAGCAGCATCCAGTTTCAGAGTGGTCGTGTCATTGGAAGGTATGAAGGGGGTTGTTCTACTGATCGGCAGTTTTAGAGGTGGGAAGTGAGCTGGAAATTGACCAGCAGTGATGATTTCTCTTCACTTAGCAAGACTAGCAGCTAGAAATCCAGACCATTTTGCTTTTTTTTCCTCATTATGGCAAAAGCTGCTGACTGACTTTGGCAAACCTACTAGTACCTCATTTTCCTGTGCCTGAAAGGGTGAAAAAATAATGTTACTCTTCCCAAAGTTGTTCTGACCATAACAATCGGAAGTGTTGCAGAAGAGGTACAAGGTGTCTTCATTTAACTCACACCTATATAGACAAGAGTAGGCAAGAATCAACTTAGTAAATTCATATCTCTGTTGTGCGTGTCTGTAACTGAATTGTTCATCTAGTTGCAGTAGGAACCTGTCATACCATATTCATCTCAGTCGGTTTGGGAACTTGCATTTGAAGTCCCAGGTTCTACCTGTTTGAGTTCTGATTTTGCTACAGACTGTAGCAAAAGGAGTCTTCAGGAATGGCTCAGACGTATAGACATCTAAATATACGAGTGATAAATCCCAGCCTTTTTTAATAAACAGAGTTTCTGTTCTCACCATGATTGCTTTAAAAACGCCCTTTGGTGTTGTTTCACAGTCATTTCTCGGGTGACACAGCCAGATTAAGGTGTTCCTCTAGACACATTCCCAGTCCACCGCACCTTCAGCTGTACTGATGTTTTATTGAAGGGGATCATAGAAATGATCTGATTCAACAAATAATTGTTTTGTTAGGAATGCCAGAGTAAGAGTATTCTATTTTCACTCAGACCAGAGTAGTAAAAATTTCACAGATAGGTTTTATGTCATCATCTACAGTTGCAGTGGCACAACTGGAAGAATGGTAGTAGTGGACAGTGGGCAGTGAGCTCATCTATAGAAAATAGATGGTAACCTGCACCACTCAGGACCCTCCCTGATTCTCAGGAAGGTTTGTAAAAGAAAACTGCATAAGCAGAACAGAATTATAGTGTGACCTGAGACAGTATCACTTCTGACATTAAACTTTTAAAAAAAATTTGGAAATAAGGAGGAAAACACAACTCTGGCTTTGTTCTGAGACATAGGGAACATTTCAGGCAACATAGGGGTTTTTTTTAATTTTTAAGTATTTACTTAGTGTTGTTAAATTGAAAATTTTTTCCCTGTTTTCTTTCTTGCTCTATGATATTTAAACCATCTTTGGCATCTAAAAATTGCATTGATTTTGTGCGTGAAAAAATACTGCTGTTGGAGACACTGTGGGTGTGAAAAAGAATAGGGCCTTTCTGTTGTCAGCACAGCTTGCTCCATCGTCAGTGTGTTTTTGTCTTCCAGCCATTTGCTGTAAATTTTAAATTTTTTTCTGATTTTCATACAACTGACTTTTGGAGAATATCGCTGCTTAGGCACATGTACCAATTTCTCTTGTGAGGTTGATTTTGTTAGAAAGAGAGAGGGGTAAATTAGTTACCACCTTTTAATTGCTGATAAACTTTAAAATAACATCTCCCCCTACTGGAAGAGTTAGTTAACTCGTGTTCTTGTACAGTTAATTAACTTTTCCCCTCTTCGATCACCATTTGCTATCATAGGAACATGCAGTGGTTTAGGTGAGAAGGACTGCTGAATGCAATCTGATTAAAGCATGACAAGCCTCTAAGTTATATCCATGTTAACATCCATTAAAACAACAATTCATTAATATTTTTGTCAAAGTCATTAATTTCTGAATCATCAGTGCAATTTTAACTTTTAAGATAATGAGACCCTGATTTCAGACAATTCAAAATTCATATTAAGGCATTTCAATTACTAGGAGATTTTTTTGGTGCCAAGCTTTTTCCGAGACAGAGTGTAGGAACGTGCTAGTTTCGGAAGACATGATCGTTCAGAAGACAAGACATAACACCAGATATATAAAATATTACAAACATTTTTTCAGGGGATGCTGATGCGAGTTAATCTGTAAGAACAGTTCGGCTACTACCATTGCTAGTCAGTGGTGGTACTAGTAGCCAGCCATTTGTGCAGCTGGTGATCTATAACGGAGTCATGGTAGTCATCAACTGTTTTTTCATAACAACCTAGAATCTCATGGAGAGATTGAGCATTTACACAGATGTTACATTAAAGAGTTTGTTTCATGCAATACATGTTAATTTCTCATTATTGCACTTTGCACCTTGAAAACCTGTACAGGCAAGAAGTAGCATGCCATGCAGGTAGCAGTCAAATACAGACCTGAACCTGACATGGTCTAATCATATCTGATTCTTAATATATTTTTAATTAAGTAGACTTCTGTAGTTAAATGCAGATAAAAGTAGTGATATGGAATTAGAACAGTAGAGTTGGTCTACATCAAATAGTAAAAAAGCAGGAAATTCCCCTGTCTGAGCCAGAAGGTGCTGCAGTTGCCAGTGCCTTGTTACTTCCTACCTTTTCATGATGAAACCATGATAAAGCATTTCGGCACAGATTGATTGTTTCTTGGAGTGGATGGACAGGAGGTCAGCAACATTTCATTCTATCTTTCTGAAGAACAGCAAAATGATGAATAAACCAAATATTGTTAAATTATGAGATACAAATAGTAATCTTCTTAAATTTGTCCGTATCCACTGTCAGGCGGTGTTCATAAGATGGCTTGTTTTTCTCATTTTTGAAAGGTTGAGTGGGGATTTTTTCTTGTTTTAATAGATCAATTTTCATGGAATTGTGAAAGAATGATTTATCTGTGTTATTTTGAAGTTATTTTCATATTTTACAGGTCCAACTGGAATAGTTAGTTACTTGTGTATCTGAGCTCGTAGCTTGTAATACAGCAGAGATGAGAATCCCGGTGGTTTTGATATAAAATAGATCATTGGATTACACTATTGCTGACCGAATCTCTCTGCTCGTAATACTAGATTGAAGCAAGATTTGAACTTAGCTGTGATTTGCTTATGCTTATGAAATGTCTTCTCTTGATATGTTTCCTGAGGAGTTTGGTGTTGAGAAAAGGCAGAAGATACAGCTTTGAGGTAGCTGGTTGTGTAGGGAGACTCTAATTTGAGAAAGGCTGCCAACTGAACCTGCATTGAAAGCCTGCGACTCCTGACAGTATGTTTGTCAGCCTTGAGAAATACGTTTGCTTGAAGGTACCCGAAGGTGAAGGTAAGTGTGGAAGATGATAGGACAGACATTTAATCGGCACTGTAGCTTCTGGGTGGTGTTTGGTTTGGTTTTTTTCTTTAGTCCCCGGTATAATCTTGGACTGACCGTTTAGCACAAAGCCATACAGAAATATAGTCTGCTTTGGAAGTATGTTTCAAGGAGATATAGACCACTGGAAATGCTCCCTTTTGCACAATTATTGTGGTGTTCAGTAAGTGATCTTATGGATGGACCAACTGAACAGGTAGTTGGGGTTTTATTTGGGACATTGAAGACATTGTTGAGATTCCTAAGGACAGCACTGAGGGACCTTGTCTAATTGGTTATTGAAGCAGCTGCAGCTGCATTGTCAATTTGATCAGTATTTGTTACAAATAGACTTTATATGATGTACTCTTAGAGGAGCAGTTTTTATGGGGCTTATTTTCAGTGAATTGGTAATGGGGAAGAATTTCATCTAGCCACCTGCTCTCTACTGATTTGGAGTTAGGTCATATCCTTGTCCCAGTAAGCTGACACTAGATGTTATTGCCATCCAGTCTCTCTGCCCCAGGGACTTGCCCTTTGACAGGTCTGCCTTTTAAAGTTCAATGGAATAGATATTTTCTAACCCCCTTGGGCAGAAGAAATCTCATCATTTGCTGATATCATCAGTCCAACAAGATAACAGGCATCGTTAACAGAATTCACTGTGAAGTGGCACCCACATCTCAGCATGAGACTGTGTAGCTGCTGCTAGTCCTCACAGAAATTATTTGGTTATGGAGAGAGATTTTGGAGGATGCCCATATTTTTGAGCTTCGGGATACTAACTTGTTTCTTGTGGTCTGGGTGACCTGAAGAAATTCTTCTTGTGACTGGCAAGACCCTAATATAAAACAGAGGGCTGTAAACCTTCTGAACTGCTCTGTATGTACATAGGGTCTGTACGTACATGTGTCTCTAACCAGAGTTAATATGCAGAGTTAGTATTTCTCTCTCAGCTGAGGTCAAAAAAACATACTCGCCTTTCATTTACTCTTGAACTTTTTACAAAGAGAACAGTCCTGATTCCTGGAGATAAGATTGGTTAAAGTGCTGCTTGGCTGTGAGACTTGAGGACTTCATGAACTTCAACATTCCAGCAGTTTCAGGAATCCAAATCTTCAAAATGAATTATGGAGTTTATGAAACTGGACTAGAGATTTGTTTTCCATTTAAGGAAATAATCTGGAGATCTGAGAAGTACTTTGACCTATATTTCAGTATTCTTCAAAATGCAATTCTCTTTAAAAATATTTTAACTACCAATCCTTCCTGAAAAAGATAAATAAAACCATATCTGTTACGATTTTGCTCTTAAGAAAATGGAATCCAATCCTGTACTCCGTAGCTGTCTTAGTTTCCAGCAGGGTGGAGTTAGGAAAACAGTGGATGGAGTGATGAAAAATGTTCAGTTGCTTTGTGAGTAGGTTCATCAGAAATAAAAGGGAGAAAATCACCCATTATTATATTGCATTTTTTTACTTTCTTCTGGGGAACAGTTCAACAGTAACTGCAAAAATGCAAAGACAAACGAGCTATTTCTGCAGTTAGTGACTGCAGAAGGAAAAGTATCTTACAGAAAATTTGGCCCAAGGTGTCATTTCTTTATGAGCCATGATGATTTTCTTTAATTACTTCAATGGCTATTGATACTAAATTCCTTGTGGTGAAGTTTAAATAAATAAATAAATAGCCTTTTCTGACTGGACGGTGTGTATGAACAAATCAATACATCTGG